CCCCCCCGCCGGGGGGGGGGGGGGGAGTGAGTGAGCAGCTGCACGGTTCTTAGTTGCTGGCTGGGGTTAAACCACAACATTCCTAAAGCCATATATTACGCTATTAATATGAAAAAAACGTTCTGAAAGAAGCAAACCAGCCTCACGCCCCTTAGCAAACAGCCACCTCCGAACCTGCCACTTGTTGCAACTATAAGTTTACTTAAGGTCAGACTGCAACATTTTAAAATGAACTCACATATTTTCTGAAAAGCATGTTACCAGGTAAGAAATTGTAACCTAGAAAAAGTCACCAATAACTCAAACATTTCAGGAGGCTTATTAAATAAAATCTACCTTCACAGTCATGTAAGCAGCAGAGATCATTATAATGAATGAGCAGAATACACTGCAGCAGATCAGGAATTATAAAACTAAATTAGAAACCCAAATCTCATTTGCTATAAAAACAAACGGCTCTTTGTTCTTGAAAAGGAAGTTGTTAAGATAATGCAATGAATCACCCTTCTGCAGTCAATTTCTGATTCTTAATCCTTTCCATATTTCTCTTAGCTAATTATACATGCATCATACATTGTAGCATTTTGTGAAAAAGTGGGATCATTTAACATCTCATCTCACAGCTTTATGAAGTTAAATTACTCAAAACTACCCTTCCTCCATATAGTGGACATCTAGGTAAGAGCTAAAATTCCATGGCACATTTCAAGAAAGGCTAGGGAATGTATTCACTTCTTTCTCTTAAATGAATATATTCCAAGATTCAAAGTTGTATGCCAGTAATGACCCTACCTGAATTTGATGAGAACAGATACTACTGTGGCTTGCTAAAGCACTGTGCATTACACGTATACACAGCATCTCTGCCTGTCATTTTACCTTTATGCCTGCTGTACTGGGTTTGGCCAAGATGGCATTAACTTTCTTCGTACCAGCTCTTACAGTGCTGTGTTTTAGATCTGCAACAGCGCTGAGAACACATTGATGTTTCAGCTATTGCTAACAGTGTTGCATAGCATCAAGGCCTTCTCTGTTTCTTACTCTGTGCCATCCTCCCAAGCGAACAGAGGCTGGGAGGGGATACAACCAGGTAGATGACTCAAACTAACCAAAGAGATACTCCATATCATATAATGTCATGCTCAGCAATAAAATGGAGAGGAGGGAGCACTTCCTCTGTTGCCTAAATGGAATAAGCAGTGGTCTCTGAACAGAAGTTGAATTTCAGGTAAAATAGTAATGTAAGGCTCTCAGCATCCCAGTTTGTAGCAAAGAGGTAAGAGTTAATTTACTGTAGTGTCAATACAGTTGGTGAAACTGTATGACAGTGCTAGTGCATAAATTATATCTGCCATTACAGCTCTTTTTCCAAAGTGTTGGCAATATTGATTGTGAAATAGAAACAAACATTTTTTGCACTGAACATCGAAGTCAACAGAACAAAACCTAGGTCTGAGGCGGGGTATTTTGTATAAACAAGCCCCACTTTTTTCTAGACAGCACCCTTCTCTCACCTTTACGAACTGCTAAAACCTTGAGAAACGACCTTTTCTTCTCCTTCATAGAGCACCTAGAGCTTGCCTGTGAGGCAAAAGAAAAAGGTAGCCTGGTTGGCATAATTTTCATTGTTCAAGTTAGATTATTTTTTTTCAAGCTGAGATTTTCAAATAAGCTTCCAAGCCTTGTAACTGAAAAAAATTATTCAGAACACAGTCACAAGTGGTTCTTATGCCCTAATTACAGTGCTTTCTCAATTTCTCACCCATCAGAGGACACACATCTCTTCTCGCATATAAGGGGAAGGAGAACGTCTGTGACTGAGTGTGATATTGTTAACAAGAGAATTTAATTGAGAAACATTTTTGCATCTCGCGTTAGGTGTGACTCTTAGTTATGTGATATGTTCATGGGTGACAGGAAAATTATGCCTTACATCTGTAGAGATGTGTAAATGCCTCATTAAGTTTAATAATTATCTGTTAGAAGGGCAGTTCCACAAGAAAATCTCTGCTACTGAAAAACAGAAGGGACAGAATGAAACAACACTGCAATCACATCATCACTGACCTTCCTGAATTAATTCACCTGTTCAGAAATATTTTTATAAACATATCAATAATGAATGTTATATCGTAAAAAATGCATGAATGGGTTACACCATGAAAATATTATCAAGTAGCCCATGAAATCAGACACAGACTATATTTTCAGATTTGAGCTCAATTCAACTTGAATTTGCATGTTAATTCACACATGACAGAGGGAGAAAGCAGAAGGTGGAAGAGAAAGAACATTGCTATGAAACATGACACATAAAAGAAAACTTTTTAAGAACAACTGCTTTTCAATCAAAAAACTACAAGTATCATCTCTGACAGACAAAAATCAATAGTATATGACTGATTCCACAATATTCTCCATAGCTAAAAAACAAAACAAAAAACCCTACCACCTTCCTGGATGTGGCAGAAGGCAAATTATCCCAGCAACAAAAAGCTCTCAAGGAAAGCTGTACTATCCCATTTACATTGACAGCTCCATTTTACAGCTAAACAAGGATTATACAAATCTGGGAAACCAAAACAGAACATTATCAACTTCTGCTTGCTATGAGAAGGTGGTTAGACAAACAAAGCACAACCTTCATACTAGACAACTACGCATTTTGACGCATACCATTAAACAAAAAATTAACCAGTTTATTATATTTAACATATTTACAAAATAGTACAAATTAAAGTACTGAAACTCCATTATTGCATGACAACAAAACCTCTGTAACAGGCAAAAGCAGCACATGAAAGAGACACTCCAGAATATTTAGGAAGTCTTTGGTACTCAAAATATAGTTTAAGATGCAGCATTAACTCAATCAATACAGGGCATTAAACACAGACAATGATATGTAGATTTATGCCACAAAAGTGAGTTTAGCTATGGCTTTCATTCTTATCAAAGGCCGATTACTGGACTCAGGAATTGCTTAAAAGCTTTACAGCAACTTCAGGATGGAGAGACTACTCAAACTTATTCTAAAACCAAGCTGCTGAAAGTGACTGATGTATTTCTCAACTCATATTGAATTAAATTGCCTCCTCTCAGAACTCTGTGACAGCAAAGCACTAAACATTTCACAGGCCTAGAGCTTACTCCTCTACCCCTTGAGAAGGCAAAACTGTGAAAGAATCAACTTCGTCTACTTAAGGAATATAGGATCAAGCTCACAATAGACAATACAACTGCATGGCAAAAAAAAAGATCAAAACCAGCATACTCTGGTCTACACTGTTGTACACATCATTTACAAAATATGTTTTATGCATAATCTACATTATTTACAAATGGTCTCAATTGCTCCATCAAGTAATGTACTCAACACAATCACAGTTTACATAATTTCGAGGTAAATCCTTGAAAAGCTAGAGCATCAGCAGAGTTTCATCTGCAAGGCTGAATCTCACAAGTGGAGAATTTCTAATTAGAAGATCCTCTGTTTCACCTGGTCACACAGCAGTGTATGCTAGGTGTAGCAGATGGGTAAGATAGTTGCAGAGACAAAGAGGATTATTGTGAATCCTCTGTGCTGTGCTTGGTCCTTCCTGAGGGCCAGAAGGAGGCCAGAAAGAAGCAAAGAACATTGGGGACAGCCAAAGAGTACCTGAAATACGTACTAGCAGATTCTGCTCTGTGGACGAACAGTGGATATTATGTTTCTTGCAGAGTGGGAAAAACTACAGTGTTAAATTGTACTGTATCTATGCATGCTAATTGCAAGACACCTATGTGAAAAGAGGATAGGGAAAAGCAAAAGAGAGGATGTGGGACAGGATGAATTAACTTTCTTGATTGGTCAACATCACCCTAAAAACAAAATGCATTTAAGAGCCTTACTTTCTTAGAAGTTTTCAAGCCAGGTTAGATGTTATCTAAATATTCAAAACTGCACATCTGAAGACACCACCCACATTTATTTTAGCTTATAACTACAGCACTTCTGACCCTCCATAAATATATTAAAACACTGCCTCACCAAAGGGTGGACACCACTTTACAAGGCCTGATGTTTCAGGCTAGCTAACCTAGGCACTTTTTTCCTTGGGATGCTCATAACACTGCAACAAGACCACTCACTCATTGAACTGCCGTTAACATCCCAGGGAACAAGAGAAGAAAGGGCACAAAGTAATCTGCAAGTTCCCTTTGCGTGACTTTGTAAGAGCACAAAAGGTGATAGAAACTCCTGTTTAACTAGGAAAAGACAGTTTAGGGTTGGAAGCATCGAAGTTTATCTGAATCATTCAAGAGGTTAAGATAAACAGTTTTGTTCTTGAGAATTGACATCATCCTCCATTAGTATATTCTCCTACAGAATAGGTCTACAATATTGATTTAATGTTAATGCTGAAAATTTTAAAACTCATCTTGTCATGACTCTCTTCAGTTGCACTTCTATGGTTGGCTGCTTAAATGAAAAAAAACTCACACAAAAAGACTGACAAAGAAAGGATCCCACAATTCCATTTTGTGGATGCTTGTTCAAGCAATACGACGTCACTACACCTTTTTAAAATGTTGTCTTTCAACAAATTGTTAGACAATTTAGGTAGGACCTCAAAGTAGTCAGTTAACTAATTATATATGCATGAATGCTACTCATGTTTACTACATATTTCCTTCAGAATGTTTTTATGAGTGTAAAACTGTTTGTAAGGTGATAAGTAGTTTGATGTTTCAAGACAAGTCTACTGACTGTACTTTATGCCCACTGGAATGACTGAACTCTGTTTTCTGCATGCAGTGATAAGGAATAATAAGCCTTCATCTCCTTGTACCATCACAGATGGTAGCTAGAAGAAAAGAGACTTATTAAATATTCAGCCATAGCTAGTATTCGTGGTGTAGTACAGGGTGAAATGAAAAGGAGCATAAAGAAATTTGTTTTCCGGAGATCTTCTGGGAAGGTGAGGGTTGGTCTTTGTACTGATCCCCAGTGATGGCAAACTGGCAGGTTGTTTCTTGCACAGCTCTGGGCAACGTAATAATCTGTCAGCACAAACTTCTGTATAAATTCCAACATTAAGACTGGAAGGTTCAGACTGACAAAAATGCTGCTGTTTAAATACTTAACAAAACCAGTAACACTTTGAAGATATTAAATTTTTACAATCCCTGAAACTGCTGGTCAGCAGAGGAAAGTTTTTAATTCATTCATCCTCTTCAACATAAGTTGATGGAAACCAGCCCACCTAAAAAGGGGAAAAGCAGAACAAAATAATACATGAGATGCACAGGTTTTTTTAAATGGCTGAAGTAGGCAAAACAAGGATGAGTCTGTTCAGTAAATATAAGAATAAGATTACCAAGATAAACTTGACTGATCTGCCACAGTTAGGGTAAGTACCATAAACAAAAGAATAACTTGCAGATATGACAATTTGGAGAGTAAACCTCTCTTCCCCCTCCCCCCAAAACAAACAGACAAACAAAAAACCCAAAAAACAAAACGGCCCCATCCCACAAAACACACACCGAAACCACTTTTGCCCAAACTGGAAGTCTAAGCATTCAGAAAAAAGTCTAGAAATGCCAAGAGCAGCAGTAGCTTTACTACAGGCAGGATACTGCTATTTTTTGAATGAGCAGTTATATATTTAACATGCTTCAGTCAGGTCCAGGGAATCCTCTTACAAAGGAAATAGCAACTGATTTGATTGCACTACACAGACTTAAAATCCATTGCCATTTAAATAAGACAGAACTGGAAGGCAGAGTCCAGTGTTTTATACTTCATAAGTTATAATGCTATCTCCAGTCTGAAATTAATGATGTGTCAAATAAGGATTATATAAGACATACAGGGAAGCAATATCATATATTCCTTATTGTCTTATCTATCTGATTTAGGTTTTTCACTCAGACTTCTTTATATCTAAGTCAATTTAACGCTTATGAAAGACCTCAAAACCAAACCTAGAGCATGAGTGGAAGGAATAACTGCGTCAATTTTGTTTTAGGCTACCTTGCCAAAATATCTCCAGAGGTGAGCTTATGATCTCAAGTCCAGACTGTGAAAGAATGCTAGCACATAACAGGGCATCCTTTAGGATGTGGGTAGCTGCATTAGAATGAGATGCTCAGTTTTCTTCACATGTAAAATGTATATAGGATGACCACTATTTCTTCTGCTTCCCTATTTCTTCTTGTCTAATTGACCATCTCACTTTAAGTTTGTAACCAGGCTCATGTACATTAAAAATAAAAATAAAAATTCTCCAAATTGCATGAAACAGCAAATCTGGACATCCGCTTCAACCAGGCTTTCAATTTCCATTTCCAGCTTCCAGCCAATCCGCTTTCTTCCGCCTCGCATTCCTTGACCCTGCATCTCAGCCCTTTAGATATGGAAACAGCAGCCTCAAATACTTCTGACTAATCTACATTAAAGAGCAAGCAATATGCTAAGACCGAAGCAATACAGCCTTTATAGGTCAAAACTTAAACTTTACTTCCATGCAAGTCTCAGAGTGCAGTGTAAAGTGACTTTGTAAAGATCCCTGCTAAATACGCCACTTCTTATGAGCCACATTTTTAGAGATCAAAGCAGCAGCCTCCTATAAAAAAGGTGGCTGCTTCCATTGCATTGTAGTCTGGCAGAAAGGTGTGGAACTCATTCTGTGTTAAACTGCTACACAGACTTTCACAGCACCAGGAACCTGAGCTTTTGACCCCAAATACATGTGTGCAACAGTTCAAGAAAGTTTAGTTGTAGCTGTACTATTAATGCTGGTTATTTTCCAACCATATAATCTTGCCCAAATATTCAGCGTAGTAGGTCACATTAAATAACCAATTAATTTACATGCTGAGAACGCTGCCTGGCAAGAGTTCTACCTGGCTCCTATGAAACACAAATGAGAACATGCTGTATCTTGTGAATTTAAATATATAAAGAAGATTTATGATGTAGGAACACACCTTATTTTTTTTACAAAATCACCGTCAGCAAAGGCAGAAATGAGACAAAGGAAAACAAAAAAACCCAACCTTACCCTTCCATTTACTTCACCTCTCCACCAGCCATTGGCACTCATCTTTGTATAAATTTTTACAACATCCCCTTTCAGTAAGGACAGCTCTCTCATGTCTCTTGCACAGAAGTCATACCTGGCTATGGCAATGCCTATCACCTTCGGGCTTAGCACTGAAATGAAAAAGACATTAACATTATTAGGGCTTGTTAACTGAAGACTACTAAAGTCATGTATATAGCAGTACTGTAAAAAAATAAAACAATGATTTCACAACAACATACGCTGCCATTCATCTTAGGCAAATGTGAAAGCATCTGCACTACACAGATCAAGAAGGTTTAGACATAGGTGAATGGTGTAAAAGTTGAAGGGATTTTATGGGATTTTTTAAAAAAAGTTCTTTTTATTTTTAGAAAAAAGTCAAACTAGATGAACCGTAAATAAAACATCCCCCACCCCAAAATTGCTGAATATGTTTGCAATTATTGTATTTTTGTGCTTCATAATAAAACTTGCTGCCAGTTACATGCATCAACATGTTTTACAGGTCACTAGTTTCTTTCCAAAAGAATTATTAGCATTTACAGTGGATTTAACTTTAAACCTCTAATGAAGCAAAACAAATAGAATAAGGTGCTGTTCTTTCAAAAACAACTCCCAAGTTAAATATTAATGCATTTAAAATTGGAAGCTAACATCAGTATGAGCAAAAAAGTAAAGAGTTTCCACAGGAAATTTGTATGGATCATTTGCTACAATCTGCATGAACATTGGCTGATGTAAATTTACTCTTTCCAGGAGCTTATGCTGTAAATCACCAATGAATTTGTTCTACAAAACTTTTCATGAAGAAGAAAATCCTTACAAATTTTTTTCCTAAGTTTCAGTGAAATTAATACTTAAAAATTTTGAGCTACATCAATGTAAGTGTTTTGCCAATGTAAACCCCAGACATTTTAAGCAATAAAAAGTTGTGAAATATTTTAAAAAAGCAAATGTGAAAAAAGCCTAATTTCAAAAACCAACCCTCTTCTCCCAAATAATTTTATAGGAAAGTGTGTTTTCAACCCTGACGTAGAACACCCAAACTTGCAAAAGAAATCCTCGACTCTTCCAATGAGAGGGAAGTGGGCATGGCACCTAAAAGATAAAGGCCTTTGACTTGAGCAGTTTAGGAAAAACATCTACTGTTCTGCTGCATTTTGTAGTTGGATTATTTGTCCAAAGCACTCTTGCTTTATTTTTCCACTAATGCCATTGTTTTCCGATGTAAGTCACTGTAGATAAGAGTTTACAAGCACAAGCAAGCTTCCCACTGAAAAGATTTCAGAAGAATTCATCATACCATCATGATGGATGACTTGATATAATGTACATATAATCATCTTTTTTTCTCAGAACCCTTTCCAATTTCTTAGAAATTCCCAATCATCTTTAGGAAATACCATTAAGAGTCTAGTTTTCGCAATGCCTTCAACAATGTAATACTAAAAGTTCATAGCTAGTTGCCTTTAATTTAAATCAGGAACACAAAACATGGCAAACAAGCTAGAAAATCTTGACAGTTTCAGCTCTGCTTGCATTTAAGATTTCTTCTGACCCCACTAGGGACATTTTATTGGAACAGAGGCTTTTGCATAATAGTATTAAATATATGAAAATCATTATATATTCAAATATTTTTAGCTTACAGAGACAATATAAACAGTTTATTTTAAAATAACATAAAATAAAATATTTAAAATATTATTAGATATATCACAAAAACAGAATGCCTAAAAACTGTTTTGGCAACAGATCATGCCCTTTTTTATATCATGCCATTAAAGTTTAGTCCAACGTTTCAGACTACTTATGTAGAGTATGCTTGCTCATCAGATACTTGATACAGGATGCCATATAAAAGAGAATCAGGATCTCAATTTATTGCTTATATTTACAACATAAAGAAGTTGTAAAAATCTAAGTGATACATTAAGTATATTAAGGTTCAAACATACTTTTTCCCCCTCTAAGCAAGTCAGATGTAGATGGTACTTGTTTAGATCCTGACATGAATGTTATGTCCTATACCTTATCAGTATTGCAGTAATCAATTTTACAGGTAAAGAGCACATGATGGGCAGCCATTATTTTGGAGAAAGAAAAAAAAAAACCAAAAAGAGCAGTTATTGATTGTTGTAAGGTCAGTAAGCATTTATAGGTGTGCAGCAATATCACTGGCAGATTTGGGGAAGCATTGCAGGATGCAAGGAGTGATTCTGGGGAACAGGGTATCATTTCAGATTCTATAAAGGAGATAAAGGGGCAAGGAAGAAGATTACATGAGGCAAAGATGAACAAATTTGGGAAAACATGGAAGAAAAGAAGTAAGGAGGGAAGAAATGCATGGAAGAATAATAAAAAGGAAAAATGCTGAGGAAAATTAGGATAGAAAAAGAAAGAGGGGCAGATCTGGGGGAAAGGAGGACTTCTATCTCTTTTTCAGGTTGTGAAGCCAGAGAGGAAAAGGAAAAAGAAACAAGAGAAATCAAAGCCATATATCTCCAAAAGTCTTGAGGCAGCAAGTAGCAGAATTTAGATTAATTTAGAATCCAACATCCATATTTTCAAATAAAAGTAATGCTCATGATAGGAAATATATAAAAGGAAGCCAGAAGACTGATGCAATACAGGAAAATGACAGTGCTAATTTTGGAAAAAATATTAACCATATCTCTCTGGTGCCATAGTCACAAAAACAACTTGAGTAGAGTCTATCAGCCCTGAATTCCCAATCAAAGCTGTCCCAGGATAAATGAAACTTGAGGGAAGACAGTCAGCATGTGGAAAGGACATCTGTACAGGTGGGAGAGAGAATAAACACTGAGTGAAGAAAAGAAAGAGGATAGCTACAGGGAGAATGAGGAAGGAGAGAGAAAATGGGGTTAACAGCAGAGATTGATGGAAAGGAAGTGCCCAACAGAACGTGAATGAGAAATTAAAGAGGGGGAAAAAGAAAAAGCAAGAAAAAAAAGAAAAGAAGCTATTGAGAAAGCAGTAATAAATAAACCTTGTGTATTAAGAGGGAGATACTCAGAGGATTAACAGGAAACAGAGTGAGAAATCTGAGGGAGATGGATAAAAGATACATGTGTGAATGAGAAAAATATACTTTTGCTTAACCTAGCCCTTCCTTCTGCAAACAGGAGGAGAAGAAAAGACAGAGAACTATAATCAGCTTTGATTCACACTAGAGTATGTTGGAAAAGTTTCTCATTGACAGTGAGATACATGTGCTGCAAATTAATTTTAATACTAGTTTGGGCTACTGATGAAGGAACTGGGGTGCAAACAAGACGTTCCATGTGATCACAGCAGGCTGGTCTAGCTCACGTTTATGCCTGTGCTTAAATTTCACAAGGGTCAATGTATCATTATAAAAGCTGTGAGTGGGTTTTTCTCTCTCCTGGTGGTATGGCCTCCTAGTAATTCTGCAGCCATATCCCCTAAAGATTGCTCTTGTGTATTCGTTTCCATGCTTCTTGAAGCAACGTACATTTACTTGCACTGTTTAACCAAACCTCAGTTCTATTATACAAGCATGGGCAGCACCTCCAGTAGTGCTCAGTAGTCGGCTTAACCCTTTTCCTGTGTTACCAGTTTCCATATCAGCAGAACTAAACCAGCTCTGAAGACCCTTTTAAAAAAAAAAAATACTTGTAATATCATGAAGTAAGTATTTGTTCATTTAATGTAAGAAAATTCTTTGGCTATTTTGAAAAGCTTAAATTAAGAATTACTAATCAATATTTTCCTTTAGTATTTTGTACTTGTATAAAGAAATACTTTACACAGCATATTGTGATATGCAAGGCATTGAATCCTTACTTATTGTTACAGTTACTTAAGAATTTTCTGATAGAGCAGGTTTTCATAGGAAAAAAAGAAATACAATTATAATTTCTTGAAACTATTGCATGGGAATATATGGGAACGTATGATAGGCTTAAAGTAACCCTGAGTCTTGATTACTGTTCTATCACTGTAGGCCACTTCACAATTTTGTTTTCATGGAACAGATACCAGTTTCAGTAAGAATCGACTTTATGATCAAGTACTGTGCAGTTGAAGGAAAGAGGTCATCTTCTATCTCGCCCAAAAGGATAGAAACTCGCAGTATTTACCTACAATAAAGGGCCAAAACTTAACTGCTTTGTGTTCTCCAATTCAAATGAGGTGAGCGCTTCAGACGTTCCAGATGAATGTCATGACCACAGGGTAAATGGCTATACCAGAATGGCTTTCTAGTCATCTTTTCTACAGACGTGTCCCTTTATGTAAGTATATGTCAAATGGAAGAGTGCCTTAAAGCCTGAATTTTCAGTCAGTGTTGTGACTACTGAAAGGAAGTAAAAATATCTGCCCCCCCCCAACCCCCCCTACAAAAAAAAAAAAAATCTATGTAAGGAGATAGAAATGGAAGAAACAGACTCCAAAACATTGAACAACTGAGGGGCAAAATATTCAAAAGCAGTATAGGACACTGAGATTGAAATCCCTAGCATGAATTGAGGGAGGGCTCATCAAAGACATTCTCAGCACAAGTAAGCACGCTAGCTGTTCTAATATGGAGCTGCCAACTACGTCCTTTTCCCCTCTAGAAACTATGGAAAGCCTTAAGACTCCATCTTGGAGCACTAAGCAATTTGGATGACCTCTGTGGGGTAGGTGTAAAACATACTGCCTACTCAGATCTCCTAGTCAGATCTTGATTACGACTACATCCATGCTTGCATGTGCTAGACACCTTCCTTTCCCTAGTGCAAAAGCCAGCCTCAATCCTGATTTGCACAACTTAGGCCAAGTCCTCCGTCCCCTGTACACAGGGGTATGTCAGTGTAACATGAGTGAATGCTGCGTTCTTAACAGTAGTAGCTCCTTCCGTATGCTCCTTGAAGGCATTTACCTTCCTACTAGCAAAAATTCTTGAATTGTCCAGCGGTACAGTTCACTTCTTTGACGACTAGGTCTTAGAGACCAGAGCAAGTCATAGCCATACTGATGCACTAATTGAGACCCCCCCACTGCTGCTACTTTACGCATTTTTATGCGGTCTTAGTTTAAAATATTTCCATCTATTAAAGCCAGAGATGGCTAAATGAGAATAAAGAAAACAATATTTAGAAAA